TCACAGCTGAATTGAGTGAAGGTACAGAGAGTTCCTGTATCAACAGGAACTCTGCTCCTGCACCCCAGAGGTATGTATTTGTTACACTGAGGATCCTAGGTGGACACACCATTGCTACTTGGAGCCCGTAGCTGACACAGGAGTGTCTCTTGGTGTCATGTCTATGGATTTGGATATAGATTCAGTGACACCTAGCTAGCATCGTAGTATCAGCATAATCTCACTGCCCTAAAAAACCACTGTGTCTATTCACTCTTTCTTCCCCTGACTCCTAATAACCATTCATCTTTTTACTGTCTCTATCATTTTCCTTTTTCCAAAATGTCATGGAATGATATGTGTGGCTTCCTCCTAGGAGGTTCTTCTGTGTCTTTTTACAGCTCGCTAGCTCACTTCCTATTACTGCCGAATAATATTGCATTGCCCGGGTGCCTCCCTCCCCTAGGCTTTTACAACAAAGAGAGAGGGCGCTTCTTTGGCCTTGGTGGGGCTGCAGTTAGCTAGCACTGGTGTTGTGGTGAGTGGCTTGGTCTTCATCGATCATTCCCCGGGTTTCCCTTCGCAGCCCCTTCTGGGCTTGGCCCACATTAATACTTGATTACTAGTGGTCTTGCGTTGACCACTGTAGCCTGTCCGTGTCAGCTTTGCTTCCTTAATGATATTAGTAACTTTTTCGAGCACTTGTCATAAACCAGACACATTCTAAGTGCTTTTATTTTATTCACCAAATACTTACTCAGCATGTGTGTACTAAACATTTAGTACTTATGGACACAGTTGCTAGCAACTCACAAAGTGTAACTCCCTGCCTGCATGGAGTCTGTATTTGATAAGTCAGTGTGTACACCAGCAGGGGCATAGGAGCTGGGGGAAAAGTAGATGAGAGTAGGGGGCACATGGAGTGTGGAAGTTGTTAAGATGCACAGAGAGGCAGGAGGACTCACACGTAAGTAACACTGAAGCAAGGACCTGAGCAAACAGAGGAAAGTTGCTGGGCAGTCATGGGCTAGCGGAGAGCCTTTTAGACCAAGGGGCAGCAAGTGCAAAGGCCCTGAAGCTGGACACAGCTGGCCTGCTCCAATAAGATCCAGGAGGCCAGTATTGTGATGGAGGGAGCAGGGAAAGGAGTTGGAAATAACTAGAAGTATCACATGCAGCCTGGTGAGGTGGTGCATCCCTGTAATCGCAGCTACTTGTGAAGTTGAGGCGAGAGGATCCCAAGTTCGAGTTCAGCCTGGGCAACTCAATGAGGATCTGTCTGAAAATGAAAGAAATAAAAAAGGGCTGGGACTGTAGCTCAGGGACAGAGCACTTGGTTGGCTTGGTTGGCATACCTGAGCCACTGGATCAGTGCCTAAGGAAAAAGTTTAATATGCGTTAATGGAATCCTAAATATTTTAGTAATCACATTAAAAGTTACAAAGATATAACAGATAATCAGAGTAAAACAATTATTAGTGAAGTACCTATGTTTTCTTTTTTTTTCTTTTCTTTTCTTCTTTTGGTACCAGGGATTGAGCTCATGACCTCACACTTGCCAAGCAGGTGCTTAAGCCACTGAGCTAAGTCCCCAGCCCCTATGTTTTCAAAATCTGGTGTATTTACCAAATCTAGCCCGCACATTTGAATTACACTGGCCACACCTCCAGTTCAGTGGCCATGTGTGCTTAGCGGCTCCCATATTAGCACAGATACAGTCTTACAGGTTATGCCATAGCCTTTGAAGGAGATGGGGAGGCCAATGAATGGTCTGGGCCCAGGAACGGTATCTTTTTGCCTTCAGTTCTAGGAAATTCACTCCAGCTGCTGCAGTAAGACAGTATTATTGGGTGGGGGATAGGAGGATCAGGAAGGAGGTTTTGACCAGGCACAGAATGATGGCAGCTTGGACTAAAGTGGCAGTGGGCAGGAAGTGGTGAGTTCCAGGTGTGTTCTGAAAGCAGAACCTCCAGGTTTTCCTGATGGGTCGTGTGAATGAGAGAGGAGTGAAAGATGCACTGAGAACTTTGGCTTGAGCTACTGGAAGGATCCAGTTGTTTGCAGCAGGAAGAAGACTGTTGGGTGGAGGGCAGCCCTTGGGTTGTGGGCGTTTGGTTTTCAGGTAGAATCGTTAGGAGCTGGACAGGTGGGTCTGAGATTCAGGTGAGGGGTCTGGCTTAGGAAGGAGGTTGAAGGCCTCTGGCGAGCAGGTGCATAGAGAGGAAGACTGAGCCAGCAAGGCAGGCTGAGCAGGGGACGCTGGGAGCTGGGAGGGAGGCCCACAGAGGGTGGAAGGCAAGTGAGGAAGGGCTTCAGGCAGGAGGAAGTGGTGTCTGCACCCTGGGCTGCTCATGGACTGGGAAAGGTGAGGCTGGAGGAGTCCTGCTCCCTGAGGGTAGACGGGTAGAGGTGGGGCGGATGCCAGGCTGAAGTCCAAGACAGAATTGGGAAGAGAGCGGGAGATGGCTGGGACAGACAACTAGCTTCAGTGCTCCTGTTTCAAAAGGGAGCAGAGAAAAGGGGTGGTAGCTTAAGAAGGATGTATGATCTTGAGGTTATGAAACCCTATTTTCATTAAAGATGGGGATACAGTATCAATGGAGCGTTCTAGTAGGCAGGGTAAATTAATGATGCAGGGTAGAGTGAAAATAACGAGTAATATTATTCATGCTTACGCTGACCTTGTGCAAAGAAAGGCTCAATCACTTGCCCAGGGTCACAGGCCTAATCGGTAGCAGGGCCAGGAGTTGAAGGCTGATGGCTCAGTTCTTGAAGGCCCCATCCCGGTGACTCTGCCATTCTGCTTCTTGGTTTCCTACCTGGGGTGGTCATCTCTCACTGAGGGTGGCCTCCTGTTACAGTTCCATGCGCAGCGCGGCACCCAGGAGAGGGCTGCGCAGGAGGGAGGCTTAGAGCGCTAATGACCCAGCGACCAGAACACCAGGCACTGTACTCTGTGAGTGCTCTGTCACCAGGACCCAGCACAGGTGGGAAGCCGGGCCTCCACCAGCCTCGTTCCACCCCTTCCTCCAATGGCAGGGCCGTGCAGCCTTTGAGGGAGGGATGAAGTGTGGATGGAGAGGCTGATGGTCAGCTGAGGGGTCAGCTGCTGGCTCTCCCTGTGTACCTGGTGCTGGGTGACTGGGTTTCTACTCAGGTTTGCTGCCAGTTTGCTGAGTGACACTCAGGGCCTCCATTTCCTTATCTGTAAGGAGGCTGAGTTGGATGATTTCCCATTGGGCTCCCACCAGGGCATCTCAGGGGGGCACATGCATATGGGGTCCCTCTTCCAGGACAGAGGCAGGGGGTAGGTGGTCCCAGTGCCACGTGTCTCCTGAGACTCTTGGGGAGTAGCAGGTCCTACAGGAGCATAGAATTCCTGGGAGCAATGTTCGATGCCCAAGACATTCTGCTTCACGTGGTGGCAAAAACTTGAGGTCATGGCACAAAGACCAGCGTCCCAGCTCATCTGCCCTGTGGTTGGTCGTGTGCTCAGCCCATGTTTGCCCTAGGGAGACCTTTGACTTCAACTTGCAGACCTCCCAGCTCAGGGTTTCCTTTTTGCATGGCCGTAGCAGTCACCCCACTCTGGATGCAGGGGGTGGGCATTTGAAGTGTCTCGGGGCGGTTTCCATGGCCACGAGCCTGGGGGTGAGATGGAAGCATTGTTCACTGGTCTCACTCCGCATGCGGGTGGTGCCCGAGCCCTGTCTGTGCCTGGTGTGCTGCTTGTGGCCAGCAGTGTCATTTTCTGCATTTGGAAACAGAGCCGCACACAACCAGCTGCTTTGCCTACACTTGTGGTGAGTTCACGATGAGACTTTGGGTTTACGGTCACTGTCCTCGCCGCTCCTCACACGCGCTGCTCACCCCATGCCCGGCGCTGCCCCGAGAGTTTCTTCTTTTTTTTTTTTTTTGCAGTATGGAAGACTGAATCTAGGGCCTTTGCACTGAGCTTCATCCCCAGTCTTTTTTCTTTTTTTTAATATTTATTTATTTATTTATTTTAAGGAGAAGAAAACATTTCAAAACAAGATACTAGGAGGGTAACAATGTTTCATACATTGTGTATTGTTATCTTTAAATTACTCAGAATACAAGATACAGGCATTCAATTGTTCACACAATATTTATCGTTTTTGTTTTTGTTTTTGTTTTTTGGTACCGGGGATTGAACTCATGACCTTGTGCTTGCCAGGCAGGCACTTATGCTGCTGAGCTAAACTCTAGCCCTATTCACACAATATTTACACAAACCTTTGTTTTCAGTGAACTAAGAAATTAGTATATAACTATCTTTATATACATACATAGTTTTGCTTTTCCTTTCCTTCTTTTTTCCTTTCCCTCATCTTAGTTTCTGTTTTCTTTTGAACAGTTTCTTCCCATTTCACAACATCTGTTGTACATTTTGGATCTTATTTATTAACTCTTTCAGTTGCTTATACTAGTGAGATAATACAGTGTTCACATGTGTGGATCTGATTTATTTCAGTTATGAATATGGTCTGGAGTTACATCCTTTTACCTATAAAACTCCCCAGTTTATTCTTTTTTATGACTGAGTAGTGCTCCATCACATAAAAAGACCACATCTTTTTTATCCATTCCTCAGTTGATGGGCATTTGAGTTGTTTCCAAGATCTAGCTATTACAAATTGTGTTGCTATAAACATGAACATCCCCAGACTTTGAAACAATTTCCTTTTAAAAAATTTTGAGACAGTGTCTTGCTAAGTCACTAAGTTGTTGAGACTGGGCCCAAACTTGTGATCTTCCTGCCTCAGCCTCCCAGAGTTCTGGGATTCCAGGTGAGCAGCATCACACATTGACTCTTCCTAAGCTCTTTTGGAGCCTGCATACTAACTCTTTTAGACCTCGTTGGAGCCCTGGGGTTTAGGGCTTGGGAAGGGATCCCTGTCTCTCAGAGGAGGAAACCGAGCAAGGAGCAGGAATGTGGGAACTCTAACTCAGGCTCTGTGTCTACAGGACCCTCACCTGTGCTTCCCTCCTTCCTCCAGGGACAGGAGCAGACCCGGCTGTCAGTGTCAAGAGCAACCACTGCCTGGACGCGGCCAAGGCCTGCAACCTGAATGACAACTGCAAGAAGCTGCGCTCTTCCTACATCTCCATCTGCAACCGGGAGATCTCGTCCACCGAGCGCTGCAACCGCCGCAAGTGCCACAAGGCCTTGCGCCAGTTCTTTGACCGTGTGCCCAGCGAGTACACCTACCGCATGCTCTTCTGCTCCTGCCAAGACCAGGCCTGCGCCGAGCGCCGCCGGCAGACCATCCTGCCCAGCTGCTCCTACGAGGACAAGGAGAAGCCCAACTGTCTGGAGCTCCGCAGCCTGTGCCGGACGGATCACTTGTGCCGGTAAGAGCATGCAGCCTGGGGCCTTGGCTTCAGGGTGCTCATGGTGGGACTGGTGTTTCTTCTCCATGTTCACTGGAGAGTCCCACTGGATTATGACTCTGAGCCCCAAAGATGGTGTCAGTCAGGTGCAATCCATTTTTTCGATCATCCATCCATCCATTTACCCACCCACTTGTGAATCCATCCATCCATCCATCCACCATCCATCCACCCATCCATGTATCCACCATCATTTTCTGATCTGCTCATTCGTTGGACTCAGGTCTTTTTTCTGTCTACTCTGTGCCCAACCTCATGTGAGAGAAGCCAGTAAGCCATCCAAGAAGCTTATAATTTAAAAATCTTAGGCTCCTGGAGTCTTGAAAAAAATGACCTTCAGATGACTTGATTCCACTTCTAAAGGAAGCCCCAGCCTCATGACTTAGGAGAGGAAGTTGCTCTCATAGACTGAAGAGCAGCTTATTACAGACTGAGAGCTGAATAGGCTAGTGTTGGGGGGAATGAGTTCTGGAGCCTGATGATGTTAGGTTTGAATTCTAACCACCAGTTACTAGCTGTGTGACTTTGAGCCAGGTTTAAAGATTTGCTGGTCCTCCATCTCTTCACATATGGATTAGGAATAACAATACTCACATCACAGTTTATTTCAGTATTAGATTGCACATGTCTGCTGCTTAATGCAGAGCCTGACATACAGTAAGTGCTTACTAAATGTAGCCTAGTTATTGGGAAGTGGCATTTTTCCTGTTATAGTGAATTGAAGTTTGATTTCTTAAATGCATTTTTTCTATTATTAAGTATTTATCTTCCCCTCTTGCATGTAGCACTTGGGTCTAAGGTCCAGAAAAGCAGAGATGACCTCAATGCTCTCCAAGGAACATGCAGTTTAGTAGGGAAGCAAATAAAGACAGAAGTGGTCCCAATTCAGTAGGATGAAGCTGGGAGCTGCCAAGGGCATCTGCCTCAGTGTTGGGGTTCATGGAAGGAGGCTTGAGCAGAGCCTTGCGAAATGAGGAGAAGAAAGTCCAGGAAGAAGGCATCCAGAAAAGGGTGGGGGGGGGGAGAGAGAGAGAGTGAAAGAGAGAGAACTGCAGAGGGTAAACCATGATGAAGAGGCTGTTGGAGAAACAGGAACTGCCTAATAGTTGCAAGTGTTTAGAGATTGTCTGCTGTGTTTCAGGCATTGTTCTAAAAGCTTCATATCTTAATCTTGCAACAAGGTTACAAAGTCAGTTGCAAAGTCAGGTTTGTCAGTGGAGGGCATAGAGATAGTAACTTGCCTAAGGTCACATAATGCACACATTGCAGAGCTGGGAGTCACATGATACTCCTTCCTTGCCACTAGGGCGTGCTGCTTTGGACTAAGGCAGCTGTAGGGTTAGGAATTGGTTGTTTCAGAGGAGAGTGGTAAGTAGACATGGACGTGGCAGGACTGGGTGCCTGGCTCAGGTTCCCCGGAGGCAAGAACCCTTTCTATTTTACTTATTCCACACCTCATCCACGTGGCGCCTGGTGCTTGGTGAGCTCCCATAAGTAATACTTGAATAGATACGTAGATGGCATCTATATCTGCCATGCTTCCTTGTTGGGTAACTGTGGGGCGATGCAATAATTGGGTGAGGGTGGTGCTGGGAAAAACAGTGTTTGAGGAGTCTCTGGGGAAACCATTGCCATTCCCATGGCAACATCTGAGAGGCATCTGGATGAATGGGCCCCGGAGCTCAGTAATGAGGCTAGGTTTAGAATTCCTGGGCAACTTGCAGGTGATTAAAGCCACAGCAGCGGGTGATGTTGGGAGGTTTGGTGTAGATGCCTGCAGTTTTGGGCACCCTTGGAGTTCTGGTGGCAAATGAAGCTGCCGGCGTGGGTAGTGAGGGCCAAACTCTGCTGGAAACACAGGGGCGTGTGGAAGGGAAGGAAAAGGAGGTGCAGTCTGAGGCAGGGAGCTGAGGTGGTCAAAGGACAGTGGGGCAGAGAGTGGGCCCAGAAACCAGAAGAGAAGAGTTTTCATGGGGAGAGAGTGGCAAAGCCACAGAGTGGGTGTGTGCGCCTGTGGTGTTCAGAGCTGAGCACTGTGGGTCCACTGCTGACAGGAGGCAGAAGCAGAGGCATTGGCTACAAACTGCCTTTTTTCAGAAGGAAGCAGGGTAGGGGCCAGGGCCATAGGGGGATGTGGGTTAGGAGTGGCTTCTTTCTATCCTGGGAGAGGATAGTGTACACTCAAGGTCCAGTGCTCCTTTGTTTGGTTAGGGATAGGAGCACTGCTGGAGTTCAGGGAAGGGACTGAGTACTCTGGGAAAGCCCTGAGAAAATGCAGGCTTTTCTCTTTTGTCCTGATTTTAAAAAAAATACACTTTCTTCACAAATAGATTGAGGCAGTTTGAAATAAACCTGTGCTTACAGCAGTAGAAGGATTCTCAGGAAAACCCGAGAGTCCTAGAAAGGAAGAGCGAGCAAACACCTCTGCTGTGTCCTCCAGCAGTGCTAAGTGAGCTCTGGGCTTCCTGGTCCACGGGATCAAGAAGCCAGGCAGGCCACATAATCCTCGGAATATGACGGAAGGAGTATGCTAATTCTTAAATCCAGACATATTTTCTCCTTGGACTGAATGCTAAGATGAATTTGCCAGGCTGCACCATACACACTGGTGTGGAATAGCACCACTGAGGATCTGGGCCTTGAAGGAGCTGGGAAGGACCAGCTTGAGGGTGGTGCACATCTGTAATCAAAGCACTCTCTAAGGCTGGGGCAGCAGGATCGCAGTTTGAACCCACCCCAGGCAACTTAGCAAGACCCTGTCTCAAAATGAAAAAAAAAAAAAAAAAAAAAGGATGGGGTTGTAGCTCAGTGCAAAAACCCTACCTACATTCTATCTTCCATGCTGGGGGGAAGAAAAGAACCCAGACGACTTCAGGGGTCCTGGGATGGGGATGAGGGGTTGTGCCAGTCAAATGTCAGAAGTGACCTTCATGTAGAGGAGTGGCAGGAGCCCAGCATTTGCTTACTGGGATCATTTTGAGGAAGAGTGGGTGATGGAGTAGAGTATGGAGCTCTGCTGGGCTCCTGGCCTGTATGAAGTGCAAGAGTTTGGAGCAGGGAGAATTTGGTGGCTTGCTTGGTTTTTGTTTATTTTTTTGGAGATGGAGAACCCAGGAACACAAGCATAAATATCCACATTGTAAAACCAGAAAGGACAAGGTATTAGGAGGGTGGACAACGAGGAGCCCTGGTGGCTAAGAGTAGACAGTTTCCAAGAGGGACTGGGCCAAGGGAAGCCCCTTGCATTGGGAGTGTGGATTTCAACAGCAGCAACCCCAGGGCCACGGACAGTGCTGTGTCTAGATCATTGAATTAGGGAGCAGAAGGAAGTGTCCTTTAGGTACATTGCTTGTCACTCAGAGCCGAGGCTTGACGTGGGCTGGGAGATGAGGTGGGGACAGGGACTGACGTGTAGAGTGGTGGACGGGGGAGGGCTAACTGGCACTCCAAGTCAGAGCCATGCCTGTTGTTTCCTGAGTATCCCTGGATGAGCCACTTCACTCCCTGTGCCCTTCAGCCACACAAGAACATACCCAGGCTTGTGGATCTGAGTCTGTCCAGGTAGTTTTGTAGCCTGCCTTCTGCTGCTCCTGCCCCACCACTTGGGTTATGTTCCCAGAGACCTGTGCTCTTGGTGGAAGAGGAGAGGAACAAATGGCCACGGAGGTGCCCACTCTCAGGCCCAGCAGGTTACAGGTGGCTCAGGAGGGGGATGCAGAGGGTGGGAAGCTCAGCTTCGCTCTGCACTGTGCTCTTGAGGGGACACTGCTCTCCGGGTTCCTGCCCTCCAGGATGGGCACCAGTGCTGGGAATCTTGTGACCATGGAGAAGCCCTGTGCTGTGGTGACTGGAGAAGGAGCTGGAGATCTTCGCCACTTGGATACTTTAGTGAGTGAAGCTGCCTTGCTGGAGTCATGGAAGAGTGTCTCTTGGGTGATGATTTTTTAGAAACAAGGCCTCTGCCTATAGGCCTCTCTGAGAAAGTCCCTGTATGCCAGGGCTATAACGTTCAGTCCTGACTTCACCAGGTCCTGGTCACTCCTTCTGTTTTGGGAGGTGTCTACTTGTGCTAGATTTCTTGGTACCCTGTCCCTCCAACCCCGCATTAAAGCCAGTTCATTACATTGCTGTGAGGCACAGTTGGCAGCAGGCCTTGTGTGTCACTGATGTGGTGTGCACCTGTGTGATGTGTTACAGACTCTGCAGTGCTGTCTTAGTAAATGTCACTGCTGTAAAGGTTTGGAGGTTCTCCTTGATCTGGGAAGAAGCCTTGATTAAACAGGGTATCTGCTTGTTCAGAGTTATTGGAAGCATTTCTGAACACCTCCGCCACCAGCCCTTTGGACAGGGCCTGCAGGGACCTTCTGGAAGCTTCTTTTTCCCCACTGTTCCAACTGCCTGGGAAGTAGTGTCCCAGGGGATCAAGCTCTGTCTTCACCTCTCTTCACACCCCTCAGCTTCAGGGCCGTCAATTTAAACTGACCAGAGTTGTTGGAAAGACCAGGAGAAGCATTTCATTAAAAGGTTCTGATGTAGAGTCTGGAGCGCCTGGGGAACGTCAGGGAATGGATCCATGAAACTAGAGAATTTAGTGGGACTCTCTCCAGCTCTTTGTGGGCCATGATGTACATTTTTTAAAAAATGTAGCCTTTTAGTTTTTTCCCTCTCAACTTGCACTTATTGCAAGGATGCCCTCAGATATTGTGTGTGTGTGTGTGTGTGTGTGTGTGTGTGTGTGTGTGTGTGTGTGTGTTGTGCAGTGGTGGTTGTGGGCTGTGGGGCCGATGATTCTGTTCTGTAAGTCGTGTCCCTTCCGGGCTGTGTTTGAAGTGGCTGTTCGAGTTGTCCTGTTCTTCTCCGTCTGCCAGGAGGATATAAATAACTCCTTGCTGGCCCTGTGCCATCTGCGGGGCTGTAATTCAACCCCTGGGTGCTGAGGATGTGTATAAATAGATTCCAGC